GGGCTTTTAGTGAATTCCTCTTTGCCTCAGATGCTCCCAGAGGGGTTCTGGGTGTCCCTAGGCTAGGGCTTTCCCGAGTTTCTAAGCCTACCAGGCACACAATTCTCCTTCTGACAATTCTTCTTAGCCAACCAAAGTACCCCACCAGGGTCGAAGCCAAGAGCCCCAAACAGAGGGAGGCCCCTTTTCCATTCTGCTGTTTACTGGGCCACAGTCAGAATTAGCATTCTGCCTGCGAGTATGGTTCTACTTTTCCCCTTTGTTTGGAATACAGAATCACTCATCTGGAAATTACAGGGTAATATGAATGAATCGTGTGTCCTGATATATCTACGTTCTTGCAAGGCCTGCTACTGCCTTAATCACCAAACAAAACAAACAGAAAGGAAGTCTCAAACATTCCTTCCTGCCATTTTTTCCTCCCTGTGTTGGGGCTTACGATGATGTGCATAACTCCCCAGTCAAGAGCCTATGAAGGAAAATCCCAGCAAAATTAGCATGATTGGCTCCAGCTGGAAACATCAAGCCATCATGAAGAGGGCCAGGCTTTTCATTCTGCACCAAGCCTGCACCCAGAGGCATCAGGAGAACTCCCACTTGGAGTTCTCCAAGTGGGCTACAACTTTCATGGATCAGACCAGCTTTTCCTTTCAGACCTACAGAATTTACATCCAGAGCAATGAAACAATAAAATGAGGCCAGTCTCCTCCTCTTAACCATATTCCTCTCCATGCAAGAGCACTTGGCTGAGAAACAGAGCTTATGAATTCCGATCATCACCTCAGCTCCGCTCAACACAGACCCTGCAGGATACATCTCTTCCTTTATGCTTGTTTTCCAGAATGCCTCTCCGGCTTACCCGAAGCCCTCTGAGGGCAGGGTAATGTTGCATAGCCTCCTCATTTTCTTCCACTTGTTTAGTGTATTACTTAGGTAACAAATACGGACCGGAGAGTGACTGAATGGTCTCAGTCATTGGTCCACATCGATAAATTACCCCTGGGGAAACCAGGAGATGAGCAGCCTCCCAGCAACTGAGGCTTTTCCTTCTGCAACGCTGGCTTCTGCGAACGTGCATGTATGGGCTTCTCGGTTGCCGTCCTGGATCTCCCTCTTGCCTGACTTCAGCTTGTGTGTGCAAACCAGCATTCGCTGTAATGAGAACGCCAAGAATTGGCTCCTTCTGCCTGACACTCTTCATTCTTATTAATAAAAGGCAGCAACGGCTCTAATCTCACTACACGTCTTCCCTCCTGCGACAAAAACATACGCAGTAATGGAAACAGAACTTTGCAGCTGGTAGGAGATGAATGTCACTTTAATGAATGCTGATGAACTAATCACTTAATACGGGCCAGAAGGAAGAGTCCATCATGAACGAGTTTCTTCTCAGCGTTCCATTCTCTCAAGAAATGAGGGAAGCCGTACCTTACAATACTGCCAAGTTACAGACACTGGCTTTCTTTGGAAAGCCAGGATTCCCGTGGGACTCTCTGCCCCCTACCCCTTGGGCACGTGGTCACCCAAAAGGCTCCCATTTACTCACTGTCATGGGAAGTTGTTAGGAGCCAGACTCGGAATAAGGCCTGAATTTGAATCCTCGCCTGCCACTGACTGGCTGTGTGATCCCACGCCTCGGCTTTCTCAGCTGTAAAATGGGGCCAATAATAACCGAGGTCGTGGGGTTGCTGTGAGGATCACAGAGGTCATGCCTGCAAAATGCTGTAGGCACACAGTGAGGGCTCTGGACACCTTAGTGTTCCCTATTAGCCCCGTGTCTTCTCCAGTGTTCCTTTAATTCCTGCCAGAACCCTACCAAGAGGCTGCTCCTATCATCAGCCCCATTTCACAAAGGAAGAAACTGCAGTGAAGAGAAGTGTAGTAGCTCTTCTAAGGACAGAAAGTAAAAGTGTCAGGAGTCAAAGGCAGGCCTGTCTCATTTTAAGCTGTGCACTTCCTGCCCACTGCTTCCTGGATGACCACACTCACACACACAGACACACACCACAAAACTACGTCACACCAGAATTAGAAAAGCAGGTGTATGACTGGACCATAAAATGGTCCACTGGGAACCTCGTTATCTGGGGGTTCCAAATGTCTCTCCATCAAACTGTTCCCTTTTTTAAGTTCAAGGCCTGTGTTTCTGCATTTTTCCTCTCAAAAAAAAAAACCCAGCAATCAGTTCTGACATACAACGGGCACTCAAAACTCCCCGGATTTGCGTGGGAATTCACAGAACTCGCGGAACTGTGTCCTGGTTTATAATACTTGATCAAACAATCCAAACAAACCAGGAATCCCCTAAAGCTTTGGAAAACTTGCCCAATGGAGCGCGTGTTTTCTGGAGACAATGAGGGTTTTGAGCTGAAGCTGAGCATTTCTAATCTCACACACACACACACAAAAAATCATGTGAGTGCAAACTGTTCCTATCAGACCTCCAGGTGGGGTTAGGGGAAGGGCCTCTCATGCTGCTACAGAGCCTGCTAGAAGTAGAGGTTTTGAAATGCAGATAATCTTAGGATTGTGGTCCTTTTGTCCCGGTTTTTTCCAAGTGTTATGAGGGATATTATTTCTGGTGTTATTTCTGGTGTTCTGGCAAATGGATCTGAGTATTACCAAACATTCTAGACCTGTTCCCCCTCTGAGGTCAAGAGGGGGTGAAGGCTGGCCAGCGGCCTCACTGTCCTGGATGTGTGCAGGTACTGAGCCTTAGTTCCCTCATCCATAGAATGGGCGTAACAGGGAAACACGCCTCAAAGGAATGTTGAGATGCTGTGAGAGAATGCACAGGAAAGGACTTAACATCAAAGGGTTAGGGCATCCAGGAAGCAGTCTGTGACCACTGGCCATCGCTGCTGAGCTTTTCGTGATGCTAACAAGAATACCCTGTCAATGTATGAAATTGTCCTGCATTTTCACATACATGTGATGATTAACATACGTGCACATGTGCGTGCATACACACACGAGAGCTTCTCTGTGTATTTTGTGGCTGATTCCCAAAATCAGCCTGGAGGAGGGCAGGGCAGAAATGACTGCCTGATGTTGTGGGTGAGAAGACGGTAGCTGAGAGAGGGGAGGGTGTGCTGGAATTCACGAGCTGGGACAGGGCTGGTGTCCACCTCTGAGCCTACTCCATGGCTACCTGCGAGGGGACCGAGAGGCCAAACACTGGAGGAAAGAACTGGAAGCTAGCCTGCCCATGACGGAGGGCAGGGGGATTCCATGCTCATCTGCTCTGGGCTGGTCTGTTCATCCACTTGTTGGTTGGGACCTCACGGATTCTGTGACCTTCGGAGGTTGTGGCTTAAGGTCTGAGAAGCACCGCTGTGGGGAGCCCTGTTCCTCATGCCAAGAGAGGGCGTGTTACTTCAGAATAAACTGGGGTGTTGCTTGAATTGTTGTCTATGTAGATTTTTGTTAGAGAACATTTTCTTTTCCTTTTTTTAAAAAAAAGATTTTATTTATTTTAGAGAGAAAGAGCATGAGCAGGAGGGGCAGAGGGAGAGGGAGACAGACTCTCAAGCAGACTCCACCCTAAGAACAGAGTCCAACATGGGGTCCAACTCAGGACCCTGAGGTCATGACCTGAGCCGAAACTGAGAGTCAGACACTCTACCAAGTGCACCAGCCGGGCGCCCTGAGAAAAGTTTTGAACATGGACCGGCAGAGATAAGTGTATGGTGAACAGCCAGTCCTGACCTTCCAGTTCCAACCATCTCGGCTCTGGGCCCACCCCGTTTCACCTATACCTCTAGCCATTTCTGCGGCTCCGATTGTTCTGTAAGGAAATACTTGGGGAATTGACAAGCAATGCAGATTCCCCCTGTGCCCTGCGATTCACGGTGGGCAGGTCTGGAGTGGCCAGGGATTTGCTGTTCCCATGCCTGCCACCCTTTCCCCCCAACAGGTGCCATGGAAGGTGGATGCCAAACTAGGGGACCTCTGAGGGCCCACCACTGCAGCTGGAGGATTCAAGTGACAATGAGGCCGTCGGTCCTGTGAAGGGAAGCAGGCAAAGCTTTCAGCTCTGCAGCTGTCTGAGAGCCTGCCACAGAGGACTGGGGACCCACCACACACACACACACACACACACACAATGGCGGGAGCAGAAAGATGAGACCGGAGGAAGAAGGCTTGTCCTCAGGCCTGAGTGAAGGCTTTCCCTGGAGAGTACACTCTACTGCCAGGTCTGTCACCTGCAGCCTGATGGTCTGTCGTCACCTACCGACCACCTCCATTCACCTGTGTCCTCCTCATGTCATCTTTATTGCCCTGAAGCCTAGTATAGTAACTGCCCCTGGGGGCGAACTGTGTGATATTGAGAACATTCGAGGGCTCTTTACCTTCTAACTATCAACTCCATGACTCCACACACAGTAGGAGTTCAATAAATACCCAGTGTAGGAATAAGCAAGGATAGGGTTATAACAGCTCTGACACACCAGCTACCAAGCTAGGATTTCTGGCCAACCCCATAAGTGCATAAGATATGGGATCTCCAAGTGCCGATGAAGAAACTGGGACCGGGTATATGGAAAACTTAGTGCGCGAGGATGATTACTACGTGCTCAGTGTGTGGGAAGGATGATCTCTGTTATTGTCCAAAGCCGGGCAACTCCCACAGTGGGGTCAGGATTTGAACCCAGACATGCCTGGCCAGGCTGCCTTACCAAGCAGTGTCTGTGCTGGGAAAGCGGTAACCAGTGGCTTCTGAAAGGCTTCATACACAAACGTGTAAAAAATATAAACCACTTGGCAAGTCCCAGACAATGAGGAATTTCAGGATAAGGAACAAAATCGAGGGAGCTGGTCTACATGTCTTATTTTTTTACGTAGAGCACTGCAGTATTTCAAGGACAGTGGATACCAAGAGCCTGTCCCCCAGCGGCCTGTCTTGCCGGTGTTCTCATCCATACGGAGTGAGGACAAACACTCTGAAGCCTGGCAGACCACAAGGAACAGGCCGAGGCATGAAACCCACTTCTTCTTACCTCTTTGCCCTGTCTTTCTCATCTTCATCCATTAGATTTTCTATGCAGTTTTTCCTGCAAAAAAAGAACAGATGATTATTGTTCTGCTTCTAGACCTTTCTTACAGGTCTGTCTGGGTATCATCACTTTGTTCTCATCTAACCTACAAGCCTGAGCCCAGAGCTTCTCAAACTTGGGTTCCAGCAAAACCCTCTACACTCTCAACAATGACTGAGGACACCGCAGAGCTCTTGTGTATGCAGGTTCAAACTGAGAAATTTTAAATATGCAAGCACTCATTCCGTTAGATGTCAGAGCCATGCAGTTATCAGAAGTCAAAGGGCTTCTAGAAATGTTCACTGTATATACACGAGAGTAAAAAAGGCAAATAATGTGTTACTGTTAGGAAAGTTGTTTTGACCTCTCCAGGGGTCCCCAGATCACACTTTGACAGCCGTTGTCTAGACCCAGCTCAAGAAAGTATCTGTTTATCCCAGATCTTAAACCTGCAAGGTGCCCATGATAGTGGAAAGCACAGACATCATTTATATATCTGTTCATTCAAATACACAAACCCCTCTTACATGCAGCCAGGAAAAAACAGCGCCCTAATCCTCCCTTTAAGGCATTTATACTTCCCTAGACAGTTGAGGCGTACAGATGCAAAAAATTAAGTAACAATCCAGGAATGTTCTTGTAGCCCGAAGTCATCAGAGACTACCTCACCGCCCAGAGCCTGCAGTCTCCCAGACAGCTGGCTGGATGTCTTAAGCCCTATAGATCCAGGTTCCTCTGCCACACGCAGGCCTGCGAGTCTTTACGCCTCAGAGCCATGGCTCGGACTCCTTATTTTATTCACACTCTTCCCAGGGTCCCGTCTGGGGTGGGCCTCCTCCAGCCAGCTCTCCGAGCAGAAACAATCTCCAGGTGTCCATGAGGCCAGAGCCTGCAGGGGAATGGAGGTGAAGCCTATGGTGGCCGAGCAGGCAGAGTGACTGGGATAAGGGTGGGGACCCTGGAAGAGCTGAGTCACCATTGCCCACACGCCTCTGTTCTCAGAGGGTCTGAACTCAGAACTCAAAACCCGACACTTTGCAAATACATTAACACTCTCGAAACTTCAAGGGGTAGATACGTTTTAATGGGGCAAATGAATCTTTGTCTAAGATAATCTGGTTTTGTGATTTTGGTTTGGTACGTGCATTGGCTGCACTGGGACAGGTGGGAACTGAAGGAGGAGGGAGAATTCTGCAGTTCCAAAGCTTACGCTCTGTTTACACACACACTCCATTCAGTCAACAGCCACCATGTTTTAAGGATAGCTTTGTGAGACATACCGTTCAACAGTGGAGGCTTGTGTCATATTTAAGATGGGTTACCACATCTGCAAATGGGCATGTGCTTAATGTTTTCCAGATGGAATCTGGTCAAAGTTTTAAGACACGAAAAACATGGTGCTAGGTCTGTGCTCCCAGGAAAGCGTCCGCTACGCATGTGTCCAGGGTGTGAGTGAGGACCCAGCCAAGCCAAGCCCTTCACCAGGGTCCCCCCAAGACAGAGCATGTTCATGGGAGGGATGTGGGCTTCCTGTTGATTTCCTGAGGTTCCGGAGTCCTGGGGTTACCTTGATTACTGGGATTGCTTAGTCATTAGTGAAAATTTACAAGTGACTAATAGCTGTTCTTTATCAACCCCATTTTCTCTGTTTTTTTTTTTTTTTTAAGATTTTATTTATTTATTTGACAGACAGAGATCACAAGTGGACAGAGAGGCAGGCAGAGAGAGAGAGAGGGAAGCAGGCTCCCTGCTGAGCAGAGAGCCCGATGCGGAACTCGATCCCAGGACCCTGAGATCATGACCTGAGCCGAAGGCAGCGGCTTAACCCACTGAGCCACCCAGGCACCCCATTTTCTCTGTTTTATATTTGTTGGTCCTTAAACATTTCCTGAATCCATGAAGCCTTGATGACCTATACCTACTTCACTTCTTCCTTGTCCCTCCCATTTCCTTGCCTGATTCTTCTCATGTGATCCCTGTCTACACTATTCTGCTCAACTGCACCTGTATGAAGAGAAGTCACCTAAGCCAAGTTCCCCGGGGGAATGGGAGCTCCACGCCTACTGAGCCTATTGTCTCCCATAACCTCCCTTTATTAGAGAGAGAGAGAGAGAGAGAGGGAAAGCATGAGTGGTGGGGGAGGGGCAGAGGGAGAGAGAGAGGCAGACACTCTGCTGACCAGGGAGCCTCATTCCAAGACTCTGAGATCATGACCTGAGCTGAAGGCAAAGCTGACGTTTAACCTATTGAGCCACCCAGGGGCCCCTCCATGGTTGTTTTCTGTTGTTATTTTTTTGTACTAAAGAAACTGCAGTGAAATACACATTACATAAAATGTGTCACTTTTAAGTGGACAGTTCAGGGGTTAAGTGCATTCACACTGTTGTGAAACCATCACCACCAGCTCCAGAAACCCTTTCATCTTGCAAAACTGCAACTCCGTGTCCTTCAATCACTAACTCCCCATTCCCTCTCCCCGAGGCCGGGCAGCCACCACTCTACTTTCTGCATCTGACCACTCCACACCCCTCCTATAACTGGAGTCATCAGGTATTTTTCCTTCTGTGGCAAGCTTATTTCAATGTTAGCATAATGTCCTTGAGGTTTATCATGTCATAACGTCTATGGGGATTTTCTTCCTTTTTAAGGCTGAATAACAGTCCACTGTGTTTCTATCACATTTATTTACCCAGTCATCCATCCACGCACACTGAGAGGCCTCCACCTTCTGATTATCACAAGTGATGCCTCTATGAACACGGCTGTACCCCCCACCCCTGTATTTTTGAGCCATCCTCTTATTTCAGGATGTGGAGGAGCTAGACAGGGCCCAAAGGTACACAGGATCGGCAGGGGGGGGGGGAGGCGGGGGCGGTAGGCGGGGGGGGGGGGCAAAAGACAGAAATTCTTTTTCTGTGAACTCTGGTTAAAAGAACAGCTGAGAAGTTTAAGAGGCGGCAACCACTCTTCTCAATTGCACAGTTTGCAATGAGGATTTTGAGCAGTGATTTTTTTTACAACCACACAGCCAAGGAAGAGAAAAAGGAGCTTAAATGAAGGCAGAGAAGATTCTGTCTGGGGCTGGGAAAATAACTGTTGATGTGATCAACCCCCAGAGTGGACAATGGAGGGAAGCTACAGAATCTTTACTCAGGACAACCACATGTTCTAAGTGCCTTACACATTTACGGTATCTACTGGTCAAAATCCCAACAGGAAATGAGACTTTGTTACAAAGGTGTGGGTGGGGTCTAGGGGAACCGAGAGAGACGGCATGGTTACCTAGGATTGGTATCAGACAAGCTGTTAACACCTCCCAGGGTGAAGGGACCAGAGGGAAATAGGTTCCCAGACCTGGAAGGAGTGTATCATAGAGGGGAGGGGGCATTTGGTGGAAGGATGCAGCCAGCCTGAAGAAAACTTTTCATTAAGAGAGAAGTCAAGGGAATGAATACCTCACCTCCCTCTCCACCTGTCCCATCTCCCGCTGGTGTCTCCTATTGGCTACACCACCCAGAAGGCTGAGGCGAGGGGCCCATGACATCGTCAGTGTGGGGGAACTCTGGGTGCAGAGAGAAGGGTGGAGAGGCTTGGAGGGGGACAGGAAGGATACCCAGCATGCCAGTAATGTTCGTTCCTGAGAGGCTCTTTCAGTTCTGGGTTTCTTGGATTTTCTGGAACACAAACTATTTGGAGTCTTTCAAAACATTTACATTTCCCCACATTTGAAGGATAGGCACATGCCTCTAGGAACTAAACACTCAAGAAATAATAACATGATAATGATGAGAGGCTGAGGAAAGAGAGCCTAGCAGAGAAGATCCTTGGAACTATTTAAGCCACAAAATCAGTAATGATAGATTATAACCCAAAGAAGAAACTATTCATGAGTCCATACGGATACAAATAATTAAACAAATAAATAAAGGGGCACTTGGTGGTGGGGGGCAGATCTCCTTTACAGAACAACTCCAACTCATAAATGTTGAAGGAATATAGGAAACAGAAAATCACCACAAGTACCTCGTAGTAATAACTGTTGCAGGCAAGCTCCATTGATGGGTGCTGAAATTAATACGCAACAGTTTGTGAAAACACGATATCTGCATAGTTTAAAGTATCTCCCTCAATATATTTATTAATTACAAAGGAGAAGGGCAACTTTATAAGTGAAGAATGTTGGCAGACACCACCTGCCCTAGGGGTCAAAATTAACATCACCAGTATAAGTTACACTCAAGTCTCAAGTGCTAGTTCTCTTGGGTGTTTATATCTCAGAGTGCAACTATTGTATCATAGCGTAGCGGCATGCTTAGTTTATTAAAAAGTACCAACTGTTTTCCAAAATGAACGTACAATTTATTTTTGCACCAGGAGCATGTGAGAGTTCCAGTGGCTCATTCTTGCCAACACTTGGTAATGGTTTCTTGCATCTGGTCATTCTAGGGGGTGTGTTGTGGGAGCTCACTGGGATTTGAATTTGCATTTCCCTTAAGATTGATGGTGCTGAGTATCTTTTCATGTGCTTATTGACCACTGAGATAGCTTCTTTTGCGAGGTGTCTGTTCAAGTTTTCTTGCCTCCTTCTTTCTTCTTAAAAATTGGGCTGTTTGTCTTCCTTGTACCGATCTGTAGAAGTTTCTCTATTCCACATACAGGACTCTACTAGATCTAGATATCAATTTGTGAACATTTTCTCCCAGTCTGTGGCTGGCCTCTTCACATTCTTGATGGTGACTTTTAAATTTGATAAAGTCCAGTTCATAAATTTTTATTTTCATGGTCAGTGATTTGTGTGTCCTCAGAAATCTTTGCCACTTCAGTGTCATGAAGAATTATCCTGTTTTCTTCTAGAAGCTTTATCATTTTAGCTTTTACATTAAGATCTATAATCCATTACAAATTAAAATTTTTTCCCCTCCAATCTGGACATTCAGGTACTCTAGGATCATTTACTGAAAAGACATTTCTTTCCCTATTGAATTGCAGTGGCATTTTGATCAAATGTCTCATATGAC